CCAAGAAAGCAAAGATTCACGGGAGCTCTGGTGGCTTAGTGGCAAGACACTGCACTGCAATCCCAGAGGTACACGGTTCAAATCCAACAGACGCTCTGCTGGAGAAGGAGGGGGCAATCTCCTCCTGTACGAGTTAGATCTGATTTGACGGTACACGTAAAAATAAAATTTAAAAAAAATTTAAAAAAAACCCAAAAAACAAAGAAAACAAAGATTCTCACCACTGGGCCAATTGGCAGCATCAGTATGGATGGTGAAGAGATTGAGATAGTTTTGGTTTACTTGGTTTCACAGTCAACACTTTTGGTACCAGCAGCCAGGAAATCAGGAGATGAATTGCATTGGGAAAGTCAGCTGTGAGGGACCTCTCCAGAGTACTGAAGAGCAACGATGTCAGGCTGGAGACTAAGGTGTGCCTCATCCGGGTTATAGTCTTTGCAATTATGTGCTATGCATCAGAGAGCTGGACAGTGAATAAGGATGATAGAAAGATGCCTTTGAGCTGTGGTGCTGGAGAAGAGTGTTGAATATACCATGGACTGCTAGGAGAATAAACAGGTTTGTCCTGGAGAGGGTGAAGCCAGAATGTTCCCTGGAGTCAAGGATTCTGAAGCTTCGTCTGACATACTCTGGGCATGTTGCAAGGAGGGACTGGTCCTTGGAGAGGGACATCATATTTGGGAGAGTGGAGGGACGGCGCAGGAGAGGAAGACCCTCGATGAGGTGGGTTGATTCTGTGAGTGGAGTGGTGGCAATGAGTGTGTTTGAGACGGCGAGTTTGGCACAGGATACAACGGCGTTTAGGGCTCTTGTACCTAGGGTCGCTGTGGGTTGCAAGTGAGTCGGTGGCACATAACAACAACAACATGAAATGATACTGTAACTGTTTTATGTTTTATTTGCTAAATATGACACCACCAGTCACTCTGACAGAATTGAAGGTCACCAGGCACAATAGCATGGCCACTCACTCACTCACCAACATTGACTTGGCACTTGTCTGGCCATCAGCACAGACCAAGCTGAGTCACTGGCACAGTAAGTGACTTGAGTGAGGGCAACTAGATTATATTGGGTCTCTGTAACTTGCTGGGGAGAGTTATCTTCTGGACATGGATTTGCCTTTTCTTACTGAAGCATCTCAGCAAGCACTGCTCATCAAGAGATTAGCATGTTTGACTTCTATCACAGAATTTTATAGAACACTGTACTGTACCTCAAGGTCCATTCTACCCCCAAAAGAGTGGAACATCGACCACATGCCCTGAGATCTGCCGGTTCTATCACATATCACTTCATTTGGAGGCTAATGGTCTGATAGAGCTACAAAATGGTCTATTTCAGCGAGCAGGGTTGTGTCATCTGCATAACGCAGATTGTTAATAGATCTTCCACCAATCCTGATGCCACACTTCTCCTCATAGAGCCCCGCCTCCCGGATAATCTGCTCTGCATAAAGGTTGAAAAGGTATGGAGACAGGACACATCCTGGGCTTACACCCTTCCCAATTTTGAACCATGCAGTGTTACCCTGCTCTGTTCTGACTACTGCCTCTTGGTCCAAGTATAGGTTTCGCATTAGCATGATTAAATGTTCTGGGATTCCCATTCTTCTCAGAGTTAGCCACAGTTTGTTATGATTCACACAGTCAAACGCCTTTGCATAATCAGTCAAACAGATAGACATTCCTCTGGTATTCCCTGCTTTCAGCTAAGATCCATCTACCATCAGCTACAATATCCCTAGGACCACGACCCCTTCTAAACCCAGCAGAGTTGAGGTGTCAGCTTGGAGATGATACTCAGGGAGAATGGGTATTAGCATTATATACTCTACTCAATGACCATTATACAAGTGAATGTACAAGTTTTGGAGCCAAGAGCTAGAAGTAGGAGTTGCTTTGTCATCTCTCCCAGTGACTCACTTTGTGTTTATCATGCTTGGAAGTCTGTCAGTTTAGTGTTCCTGTCTCCAGGATGGCTGAGTGCCTTTGACAGGGGACATCAAGAGAGTCCCATTTTAATCTGTAACTTCCCCCCTCCCCCCAGTCTTTGTTGGTGCCAGTTAAAGAAAGGAACTAATAATCCTGGTGGGAATAACCGATCCTAATTATCAGGAAGATACAAGACCACTGATATGCAGTGAGGAATAATTTTAGCACCCACCTGATCCAGTTCTCTATCTTTTGGGAATTCTAAACAAGTACACGGGCCGTAGCCTGAGAAGAGCATGATGTCAAGAGCCTAAGACCCTTGAAAGATGACAATTTTAGTCACTAAACCAGGTAGGATATTTAGAGCAACAGAGATGCTAACCGAAGAAGGTAGATGAAATCCAAAATTTGTAGCACGCAAAAGCCCATTGCAGCAGTCACCTTGTCAATCCACCCGGTTAAGGGTCTTCCTCACCTTCGCCCACCCTCCACCATTCCCAGCATGATGTCCCTCTCCAAGGACTAGCCCCTCCTAGCAACATGCCCAAAGGATGTGTGATGAAACCTCATCCTGCTTGTCTCCAAAGAGCACTCCGGCTGCACCCTCTCCAAGACCTATCTGTTCATTCTCCTGGCCGTCCATGGGATGTTCAGTGCTCTTCTCCAGCACCACAGCTCAAAGGCCTCAATTCTTTTTCTGTCATCCTTATTCATTGTCCAACTTTCAGATGCATAGCAAGTGATTGGAAAGACTATGGCCTGAATCAGATGCACCTTAGTCCTCAAACTGACATTACTCCTCAATCATTTGGAGAGTTCCCTGACTGCAGACTTTCCCAGTGCACCATTGTTCATAGGATCACTATTAGTCATAGTCGACTTTGTCACATAACATAAATGATAGTAATTCTTATTATCTTAGTGTTCCACTAGACTAAGAAAATGTAAGCAACTATTTTCCATTTTACTTAGAATTTACTGCAATTAGGTCATCAGAAAAGAAACAGTAAAGGCATTGTGGGTCTCTTGTAGGTCCAGTGGCATCATTCTAGGTACTATGTGGTGATAATGTTGGTTTTAAGATTGTTTGAGTTCCCTTAGGAAGCTGTGTCCCAAGAAGAAATGGCCAGCATTCCCCAACATCTTCAAAGAGTTTTCCTTTGGAAGGTAAGTCAACCACGCCAAGGCCTCCGGGCTCGTTTCAAGCTAAGACGGGACACTAGGATTTCTGAAATCTAGATCCACTCCACTACGGCCAGGCTGTATGACGGGACAAAGCTTTTCTCCTGCTGGTTCCTCAATAGCTGTATGTGGAGCGCAGGCAGCAGGGCTGTACTGAGTGTATGGTCTCCAGGAACCTTTCCGCTCAGACTGGGTAGCTGCTGGAGTGACAGGCAGAGAATAGGGATATGAAGGGGGACAACGCCACAGGGCAAGTCAGGGACTGCGGAGAGCATACTGCACACCTGGTGCCTCTCTTCCTTTTGGTTCTCTACTAATTGGAAGCAGGGTGTACAGAGAACGTGTGGTAGGTCTGGGAGTTTTGGATTGGGGAGGGAAAGAGATAGGCAAGTATTTGAGTCACTGTCTTGAGATTTAAAAGCTGAACTGAAGAGGGATGAGGATGGGTAGGGGGTAAATTTTGCTGTTCTTTCTTAAAACATTTTTGCATTGAATTATAAAGTAATAGATTGCAATAAAAAATCAGACACCTTCTACACTTTATTGATATATTTATTAATAGATTTGATATATTTATATTTAATATTTTCCCCTTTCAGATGATGGTGACAAAAGCAGATGGGACCCCAACCATACCCACCCACCCCCAACGAGATTTCACTAAGCATATACAAGCCTTGGGGCACGTGTCCAAATTCACCTGGCCGGGTTACCAGTGCCGGGAGAGGATGGGTCCTTGGGGCAGTCTGAGCACATTAGGCCCAGCATTGAGCAGGCTGGTGCTGAAGAGAGGCTGCCACTGTGGGCCATGCCTCTTAGGTGCCAGTGGAGGCAAGAGGAACACATGGCGAACAGAGTTGCCTAGGCCTGGCATGTGGTCAGAGGGTGTCAGTGGACTCCTAGGTAGTTTCAGTAAGATTCATAGTCTCATAGAAATCTGTGCCTCTTGGTTCTCATCTGCAAAATAGGGATTAGAATCCTACCCTGACTGTATCTAGGGTTATGATGAGGCTCAAAAATAGAGATATTTTGTCAAAAGTATTCTGCAAAAGGTTAAGTGCCATTTAAATTTAGGGCTGTTCAATTGATTGGCTGTGATGGTGAAAGTGCCCCAGGAATAGGCAGGAACCAGCTCATGGGGCCAGGGGCCAAGGAAGTGGCAGGACTCCTTAGGTGGGCACCAGCCATGATGAGCAATGTCTATTACAAGGCAGTGTTCCTTTGCTTCCTGGGTCCCAGGAAGTCACCAAGGTCTAGTAGCTGGATCAAGGGCGGGAAAGTCACTGGGGAAGTTAGAGACAGGGTCACAAAGGCCTGAGGGAGGGGACATACAAGCCATTGCAATCATCACACACACAATAGATACCCACTGAACACAGGGCATGAATTGGCAGTGCGGATGAAGGAGAGAGGAGAGCAGAGTCACAGAAGCAGGGGGAGGAGGGCAGTCCCAAAGAGGCTCAGATTGTTGATCCCCACTTTCTAAAGGGCTAAGTCAAGTGTCTATCTGCAGGGGAAGAAGGGCAGGAAGCTAGAATCTGAACTGGGCGGATGCCAGCGTTGGGCCTGAATGCACATTTGTGCCGATTCTGTTGGGAGAGAGCTAAGCAGCTCATATGCAGGTCCAATTTTGAGAAGCTATGATTTTTTAAGACTGAGTGTCATGAATTCTCTTTGGAGAGAGAGGAGGGCTCTGTTACTTGATATGAGCTGTCATGGAAATTTAGTGACTGGGCCTGGTTGGGCACAGGGCCGCCAAAGAGACATTGTCTACAGAGTCGTGTTTGGGAAAAGCGGAAGGAAAGACACTTGATTTCCTGCTGCTGCTGGGGCTCCACCTCAGCTCCCTTGGCAGGGGCTGCCTCAAAGGGTACCGGCTGGCATCTACCAGCACAGGCAAAAAACCCAGTAGAGCACATTGCAGAAGAAGGCCAGTGGGCAAAGCAGCCGTGAGTAGTCATCCAGACGGCCCACGTGGATGCACAGGTGGCCTTCCTGCCAGGTGCTACCCTTGCAATTGGGGATCATGCAAAAATATTTCTTGCAACCTGTGCGTCTCTTGCTGCAGATAGGCTTCACCCGCTGGGGACCACCTGCGGCGGGGATCTGCCACTCCTCATAATTTCCCTCCAGGTTGACGATGGTGTAGATAAAAGCTTCCTGAAGCTGCTCAGCACGGGCACGGGCACGGGCACGGGCACGCGCACGGGCTCGGGCACGGGCTCGGGCACGGGCACGAGCTCGAGTCCGGCGACGAAACTGAAATGGAGAAGGAAATAAGAAGAGGTAAAGGGGAGCGGTCCCCATTGCGGGGTCATGTTCACGGCACCCTTTCTTTGGCCCTGAATTCACAGTATCGTACCAGGGAGTTTAGTTACGCCCCATCCCCCAACTCCACAAGCCTGGGTACCTCCTGATCACTTAGTGAGCTCAGCACCCACGTGCACAACCCCTGGGCCCTCACTGGTCCGTCTGCAAACTCCACGCCCATACCCCAGTCGCTCATACATGGCGGACATTCGGAGGCCGGTAGAATGTCATCTGGTGGTAGGTCAGGAAGTTGAGCACAGCAAACTCAGTCAGCGCACAGAAGCAGAAGATAAGGCAGATGGCCAGATAGAAGTCCAGGGCTGTGATATGGGAGACACGTGAAAAGGTGCCCAAACTGGTCATGGTAAGCACAGAGGAGATCCCTGCAAGAGTACACGGGTGGAGGTGGCCTCAGCTCCGGCCCATGGACTGGACTTCTTAAAAGGCCCGAGGAAAGCAATTCCTTACCTTGGTGAGAGCTCATCCCCTTACCTAGAGAGGTCCTAGCAGCAGCCACATCGATCTTGATCCAAAAGGAAACCCAGGAGAGCACGGTGGTCACAGAGGAAGGGACATAGTTCTGAATGGCGACATAGCCAAACTGCCGGCTGACGTTGAAGGAAAAGGTCAGGACCATGAAATCACCTGGAAGACATTTACAAATGGCATTGACACAGGGTCCTCCCCCCACGGAGAACTGGGGCATGAAGGGCCGCCTTTTGCTCACCACAGCCCCAGGCCAGAGGCACATTGTTTGAATCCAGTCTGCAGAGGGTCAGAAGCAGCTCGGAGACTCACTGCAAATTGAGAGCTGACCTGGGGCTAACAGCTCAATGTCCTTTCTCAGTTCCCTCTCCCGCGCCTCGTGCGCCTGTCTTCCCAGCATGGTGGCAGTTACACCAAAGTGAAACCGTCAGTTAGCCTTCTAGATATCAGGAGTCCACAGCTGATAGCCAGATGGCTAACCAAGGCCTTCATAGCCATTAAACCATCGCCACTCCTCTACTGGCCCTTGTAATGTCCGCACCCGGACAATGATCTGTGGATACCCTACGCTATGTGTGCCTGTGTGTGCGTGCGTGTGTGTGTGTACACGCCCGGCACATCCCATCAGAGGGGAGCTGCCAAAGCGAGCCACTCTCCTGTCACAGCTAACAGGACAGTGGAATATCTTGCAGGTGATTTCATGGTCCTGACCTTGACCCTGTAGCTAGTGACCCCGAGGATGGAGTCTAGGATGAGCCGGCTTCTGCTGCTACTCCTTGCACGCACACAAGAACCTGGGCCTGAGCCAGCCCCATGGCGCGCAGGTCCCCTGGGCTAGTCTGTGTATTTATTCCAGTAGTCAAACCCCGAGTTCTCTGTGCTGACCAACACTGAGTGTTTCAGGGAAACAGAAGAATGACATGAAAGTGAAAGTTTCAGTCGGCCCTCCAGATGTCAGGTCTGTAAAGTATACATCCGCAAGGCAGACTGAGAGCTCCACAGTCATTTGGGCAGAACACGCTGTTCCCGGCCTCGGTTCTCACCCTGGCGTCCAACGTGGCAGCCTACCTCTCCAGTTGGCTCTTCTATTGTCTCCTATGTGCTGTCCTACACTCTGACACATCTACCTCCAGACACTGCATGCTCCTCACTCCACGCTTCCCTTGGGCTCTTCTCTGACCTCAGAAGGTCTCCTTCCGCCCCCAATATCCTACTGCATTTCTAAGAGCTCAGTGCTGGCTCACTCCATGATATGTTTGATGGGCTTCCAAACTTCTGCCTCAATGGTGCTTTCGAGTGCTTTGACCTCGAATCCGTTCAAGGCAGGGTTCCCAAGGGCCCTGGGGTGTGTTCCCTGCCCAGGTTGGAAGCCAGCTGATACCCGGCAAGTCTTGCGGCTGCACACCAGAACCCTGGCCTGGCCACGGCTCCTTCCATTTTGGAAAGCAAGTCACTCGTGCAGTGAGTCTAGGTAAGCGGGGCTGAATGAGAAACCTTACCTACTCACCTTGGTGCCACTGGTACTCAAGGGGCAAGACTTCTCAGACTCTTCTGGAAAAGGCAAGGAAGTGGCCTGCAGTCAGTGGGATGGCACTCCTTCTGCAGAGTTGCTGGGGGACCACTCTCATCCTTAGCCCCACTCTAAGGTACTGAATACACTTTAATACTTCATTTAGCTACAACCAATCCCATTCCTGTCAAGTTGACTCCAACCCACAGAGTAGACCTTACCCACAGGGCTTCCAAGGATGGGCGTCCACCTTCTCCCCCATGGAGCGCAGGGCTTAACCACTGTTCCACAACCATACCTTGAAAACGGCGCAGTTTATATTTTCTTGTTCCAAGAAAATGTATTATCTTATGACTTTCTGAATTTTTAATATTTTATGGACAAAGAACTCCTCCACCTGCCAAGAGATGTACATTTGCCTTTGAAAGCGGGGAGCAAGGTGCTTATGCACTTTCCTCTTCGTGGGGAGTGACAGACATCTGGGGCTGCGGAGCCGAGGAGAAAGTGGCTCAAGACTTTCCGCTCTTACCTGCTCTGCTGGAGCATGGCTGGCTCTTGGGGTCCAATCCTGGGCACTGCCCTTTCAGGGGAACACAAAGAAACTGTGTCCGGAAGACTAGGCCCAGAAGGGTTAGTAACCCAGAGCCTTGAAGAAGGAGAAGCAGCTAGGCTGGACTGGAACACTGGACTGCATTGAATCGAAACCAGCTTGTTTCGGGAGAAAAGAACTAGGCCTAATGGATGGAAGCTCAGTGGGTCTAGCGGCAGATGAACAGAGATTTCTCTGATGGAACTGTGGAGAGGAGGCACTCTCAGAAGCCACTGGACTCCTGACCACTGGTAACTCTCAGCAGAGGCACAGCAGCTCAACAGCTGTGGTAAGGGATGAACCATTCACAAGGACCAGAGTCGGACTCCGAGAACCTCCAGAAGCAGAAACTCTCTGGTTAAAGACTCGAGGGGCTTGAGCAGCAGAGGATATGCAGTTCTGAACCCCTGGCGGCTGAGGGCATGAATATACCCCAGATGATGGTCCTGAGGGAGAGAATTGCCCCGAGGTTCACCTGGAAGCGTCTGCAGTCTCAAAGACAGCTATCAGCAATGGTGAAAGCGTGATTCAAAAGTAACTCGTCTCCAGCAGAAGACAAAGAAGCCCTCCTCCAAAGCTCTCCTCAGTCCCCAAAAGGGCTGCTGCTTACCCACTAGCATGGCTTAGGTGATGATGCTGGCCCTGGGGCTTTGTAGTCACTAGGGGACCATTTTGAAACAATGTAAAGCCATCTACTAAACGGAACCACTAGTGACTTGAAAGCCCCTGGGCCTTGTCTCGTCTGCCACTTTTGATGATGGGTCCCCACCTGTCTGGGGCAAATGAGGTACAAAAAGACAAGAGGCAGGTCCATGGTTAGCTGGCAGAAGAGCAAGGGTCCCAGGTCGAAAGCAGAGAAACTGCTTCCTTGGGTCCCCAGAGAAAAAGGAAAGCAATTTGTGAGGCAACCCTCTCCCCCTGCCTAGCACTGGGCAGCAAAGCGTCAGCCAGGTGAATAGAAGCTGCCTCACCAGCGACCACGTCAGTGCATGAAGCAAAAGGGAAGCAAAGCAAGTGGCTGTGTGGGTGACTGGATCCATCCACAGTCTGGCAGCAGTGAGGGCAGTGCGACCACTGCCCTGAACTTGGTCAGTGTGTGTGAAGCTTCCCAGGTCTGCTCTGGGAGCAACCCTGGGGAGGTCCTTTGGCTCGTCATTCAGATCACCTAGGAACATAAGCAAAGATGCTCACACCTAATTGGACTCTGGAGTTAGAGACCAGGACCTTCCCTTTATGTGATTGTTACGGATAAGGTCAGAAAAGAAATTATCACCAGGCATATGTGGAGTCCACCATGACGCCTCGACAGGAATCTGTGCTTGCCCAGTTACCAGAATCTCTGAGCTGTTCCTTGAAGATAAATATCAACGTGACTGTGAAGCCACTGGAGCTCTGGGCTTCTGAAGATTTTCTCCAGACCATCCCAGCCTTCACCTGGCCGATGGCGGCGCTCCAACTTCTCCTCTTATTAGGACCAACTCTGCTTCCCGCCCCCCCTCAACCCTGCCCAGACTGGTACGGGGTATGGAGAATGCACATGGATTCTATTCCACAAGTCACTGGTGTGTATCAGCGGTCTAACAAAGACCTTGACGCTGAAGGTTCTACAGGCTAAGCTCATAGCAAATTCTGACAGCAATAAATCTTGATCCACTTACCTCCCATTTCCGGGGCTTGGCAAAGCACTTACTTCTTTGCAGATGAGACTGAGACATAGCTACAAAGTCTCAGTTTCCTCTGCAAACAGTTGTAAGTGCTTGGCATGAACAGAACAGGAGCTGCGACCTCCCATAATGTCCTAAAATGATTGGCTAGCATTTCTCTGAAGAGTCCCCGTCCAACATCCACACCACCCTCTTCAGTCTTAGCCTAAAATCTGGCGTCCATGGTGCACTTACCATCAGCGGTTGAGAGAATTTCAGTCTTGTTGCCCATTCCCTTAAACTCAAACTGGAAGAGCTTCCAGGAGTTGTCCTTACTGATTTCAAGCTTGAAATGGTCCCACTTGTAGATCATCTCACTCACAGGATAGGAATCTGGAAGACGATACAGGAGGAGCGTGTGAGGCTGAGAGGGCTCTCGGTCTCCCACAGCAAGGAGTGAGCCTGAGCAGGGCCTGGGAGTCTTGCTCTGGCCTCACCAGCTGTGGGACTTGCTTTCCTTACCTTTGTTGAAGCCCCTTCAGTAAGAATATTTACTGAGCATTCCTCAGTAGCAGGCTCAGGGCTAGAAATCCAGAGACGAGCAAGGTATGAGTCCTGCCCTCAAACACTCACATTCTAGCAGGTAAGACAGTGAGGAGACAGCTAAGAGTCTTTGAGAAGCCACTGTCCATGGGACACAAAGGAGGGAAAGACCAGAGGAGACTTCAGGGACTAGGTGACATCTCAATTAAGTCTTGCAAATGGAATAAATATTTTCCACATAGATGAGGCTAAAGGGGCAGAGGAGGTGCTTCATGTTAAGAAAGGTGAAAATGCCTCGTGCACCGTGGAGATGCAGAAAGCTCCCAGGGGGTGAGATGTGCGAGAGTGGGTGGTAGGGGCCCGTTCGTGGGCAGGTCCAAGAGGGTCATTTGAAGGAGTTGAAATCCATGAGATTTCAGGAAGGATTTGAAGCCAAGGAGTAACCTGGTCATTGTGTGAGGATAGTTCATCGGCAGAGATAGCAGGGATGGGAGGCCAGCACAGTAATCCAGGCAAAATGAGATGGATGACGGCAAGAGGCAAAGCTGTGGCAGAATATTGAGAAGGCAGACTCGATAGAAACAGAGGAGGAACTCCCAACAGGGGGTGTTGATTCATTAGATGTAGGAGGTGGGAAATGGAGGCTCTAAGGTTTGGTAGCTCATGCTGTCCTTCCTTCATGAAGATTGAAAGAAACACAGAAGAGGGTACATATTTATTTGGCGATAGAGGCTGGGAGGAGACAATGAGTTTAGTCCTGGACATGTTCTATTTAATAGTGAAGATGTCAAGAAGTCTTAGAATATTACGAATGCCTAGACCAAGGCAGTGGCAGTGGAAATGAAGAACAGACAGAGTCAAGATATATTCTAGAGACGGATGTGGACAGACTTGATGTGGAAAGGGAGGGAGGAGGAACCCAACACGATGCCCAGGTTGAGCAACACAGGATTAGCGGGGAATGAGATGAAGATTGAGGAGGAGGCCCTGGACAATTTCGGCACCACCTCTGGAGGAAAGCAAAGGCAGAAAATTGAAGGGAGGATGAGAAAAAGAGGGGCCCAGCATTCCTCTGGGCCTCCAGAAACCTAAGAAGGTACTCACAGCTAGAGAAAGACAGAGGACAAGAGTGAGAATCCATTGGAAATCTGGGCATATGCAGTGCACATCCAGCATCAATGGTCATCCTGGAAAGGAGAGAGGAGCCGCATTACACAAGCCCTGAGGACCACCACCAGGGAGTGGCAACCGTGAGACTCCAGACGAAGAACTCAAAGGAGAGACACGAGGAAGGACATTAGGAAAGCATCTGGCTACTCTGCTCTCTATCATCACAGAAGTGTATGGGCTTTCGTCTCTTGTCCAACCCAGCTTCCAGGACCTGCCAGCACTCTCGCCCTCGACCATCAAGTATACAGCTCAGTCTTAAGCACGTTTCCTACTGTTGTGATGTGCCTTTATATCCAATGGGCCCCCAAAGGGTGCAGTTGTCTAGGCACTGCAGTCAGAGAGGTGTAACCTAGCAGTGAAAGCACCGGGCTAGGAGACAAGTAACTGCAGACCATTATCAAATCCGTTCCAAATTTGGGGTATGGCCTTAAGCATTATCTTCCTAGAGTTGGACTATGGTCTAGAGAAGTTGGCAAAACCTTTGGAAGTATCATTCCAGACGAGACTTCCACCCATTGACCCTCGGCTAAAGTTCTCACAAGAGAAGGGCGGGCCCCGAGAAGTGAGCCCAGAGGCTTCACATACCTCATGGTGTACAGCACCTTGCCATCCCTGTGGATGCGAACCATCTGGCTTGGCATGGTGATCGTGTGCTCTGGGGTCTTCTTAGAATTCCTAAAAAAGGTGTCTGGGATCCATAACCGGCTCACCACATTGCTGTTCAGAACAAAGGTCTCAAAGGAGTCATTGTAGCGGAGGCGTTCGTCATACCAGGTCTGAGAGAAAAGCAGGTCAATGGTGTATTCCTGATGGAAAGGAAGGAAAAGGATACACTTGGAGCTGTGGAGACAGGGAGCATTCACACACAAGCATTCAAGGGCAGTGTAATAGCACACGAGGACACTGGGTCAGTTCCTTTCCCCCTGAAGAACACCACAAAGGCTCCCAGTGGTCCTCACGCCCTTCTGTGACTGAGCTCCCCAGAAGAGCCTGTGTAAACACACTGAGGCACCCTGCACAGTTACTGCCTGTGGAGCTCTAGCTCCGCACCTAGACCGTGAACTCACCCAACTGGCATGGTGCTTGCTGGACACCAGTGGCTATGCCAAAAGTGGGCTAGCATGTGCCAACCTACGTCTGTAGCCAAGAATGGAGTTGGGTACTTTCTCGTCAGACTCCCCAGGTGCAAATGACTTCTGCAGAACATCTCTGGTAATTTATTTACTAAGCGAACATTTGCCGCATCCTTGACAGCAAGGGGCCCGGAATTGAGAAAGCAAAGCTGGCATTTTGTAAAGATCCCAATAAAATAAAGGACAGATCATGTAGGAATCATGTAGCAAAGGGGGTGGGAATATGGTGTAATTAGGAAAAGAGTGATTAAGAGTAGTAGAGCTCAGGGACCATGCCACGAGAAAGGCGTCACTAGAGCTTGACTTCAAAAGATAGGGATTTTGACAAGTTGAAAATTAGAGTTATGGATCTCAAGAAGGGGAAAGCGTGAGTTGAGAGTACGACGTGGTCTGCGCATATCTGTCTGCTAGAGGCACTGACATGCAGGGTCTCTGGGGTGTGTGTGTGGGGGGGGGGACTGGAGCCCTGCGCTACCTCCCGCCATGAGGGCTCTGTTAGTGCGTGAGCTTGTCTGTGTGCTCTACGGGCCAGCATGGCAGGAGGCACGTCAGTTGGGAGACCAGTTTAGTAGGAACCAGACGGGAAAGGGAGGCTTTGGCATAGTCCAAGTAGGAGAAGAGGAAGGCTAAGGGGACAGGATTGACACCAGGATTGTAGCAGTGGGAAGGAAAGAAAGAGCCGGAGCGGGACTGGATCATCAGAGACAACACACAGCATTGGCAGAAGAAAAGAGCCGTTTCATCGCGGTGGTCAGAGTTGCTTTATTATTTCTGGAGGTCCTCTTCCGGCAGCAAAGGACTTACTTTCTTCTGTCTCATTATCAAGACTGTGCTAGTTCTAATCTCTCCCCTAAATTTTTTCCACACCCCCAGTTGTTTTATACACACACACACACACACACACACTGGTTTATATACAAAGTTCATAAAATTCATATCCATTTTTTCCCCACACCAAATCTTTCCCCTTTTGTTTACCCACCCCCCCTCCACCCATCAAACTGTGTGACCCTATGATTAAGCCCCCCTCCCTTGGATCCTCATACTCGTTCCACAATAATGCTGTTATACTGTATTTGTCCTTATGAGACTGAATGAGTTGGCTTAGCATAATGCTCTGCAGTCCCTCCGTAAATTCTTGAAGTGGTTATACAGACACTCAGAAGTGAAAGCACAAATACGTGAAAAGCCAGGTGGTCAGCAACCTACATTGAGACCCTGTAATCACAGCCCAGTACTCACCACGTCCAGGGTAGAGAGAGGCTCAAAGGTGTTAACTGAGAACTGGACAGTGACCACAGTGGGCTTCTCTGTAAGACAGAGGCAGCAGAAGGGAAATGCCAAACAGGGGTGTGGGGCAGGGGAGGGAGTGGTCACAGGGAGAGAAAAAGACAATCAGACAAACATAGGCATCCGATTCTCTTGGTTCTTTCATTATGAGATCCTGCTCATGATCTGTTAAGAGTTGAATAGACCTTGAAGGTCAATCACCTAGTCCTTCATGACATTTTATGTCTGGAAATCAAGGTCCATGGTAGTGCTGAGACTAAAGTTAACAGGTCTTACCCAGTATACAGCACCCTCACCTACACCCCAAGTCTCTTCTCCATACCTGTGCCTTTGGCCTTTCTGCCTTTTTCATCCCTTCTATTTTAAGATCCCAAATCACTTGCTCCCTAGGATGTGGGTGGCTCTTTGGAGGTTGCTGCTTACCACCAATGCCTGGGCGCAGTTTGTAGTCAGAGTTGCTCAGTATAGTCTCCAGGACCTGAGAGGCTCCTGGGCCTGTGGCAGTCCCGTGGCCAGTACCAGCAGGCTTTCCTCCTTTAGTGAAGGGCTTCTTTGTGGCATCCTGTGGCTTGTGACTGGCAAAGCCGTCACTACTGCCAGAGGTTTCCTTCTCTGACTCGGACTGAGGTCCTTCAACCCTAGAATGTACAAAGAAAGAATGAAGGTCCATCCGTGGCTCCATAGGGCTCCATCTGGAAAGCTGAGTATGGGCTGAGCTCCTTTGCCCCGAGACTGGCATTCAGCAAAGAGAAGGCTACAGGAATCCAGCTTGAGCTCAGGGCTGTGCATCACTGCTGAAGAGAAAAGGTAAGGCAAGAGAAAAAGCCTTCTGCCAGGGTCTGAAACTCACCTCTGGGTCATTCTATTTTTGTGGGAGACAGTGATGACAAGAGGGTCCCAATCTGAGTGTCATTCCCTGACACTCCATCTCCTTCACACTCATAATCGGAATACTTTTCTATATGTTTACTTCCATAAAAAACATTTACAGAAATAAAAATGTTATACAGACCTGAAGTGGATCTTTATATTCAAAAGAAAACTGTAAAAAAAGGGGGGAAAAAAACCCCAACAACCAAACAATCACCACAAAATGAAAACAACAAGAAGACAGACAAATTCAACCCAAATCAATTCAAAGCCAAACATTTACAACAGAGGCAGAGTGGAGGATGGGGACCGGAGAGCTGAGGGAGAAGGAAACCATTCCTGCACGTTAGGTGTTAACGATGGGCTGCATTTTTCACGAGTCTATCCTTTAGACTTAAAGGATATCTTACAGACTTTAGCACATGCTAAAAATAATAGTAAAAGCAGTTTTGCTGTTGCTGTTGTTGTTTGACTCAGTGATGGGAAAGCAGAAGAGTGGCCTCCCCCTTGACTGAATCCCACAGGACTGAGCATACATTATTTCAGGAGTTGTGCATTTGTGTCTCACACCTTTCCAATAATGGCATTCTGTAAGAAGTCATGACATCATTGGTTCCCTGCCATGGGTTAAACTGGGCAAGGCCTATGGACTTGGCTCCCAGCTTGCAGACCATTTGTTCCACAGCTCGAAGAACTGTTTAACTGGCATGCAGATGTCTGAAGGGGTGAGTTCCCACTGTGGGCAAAGCCTTTCCATTTTCTAATATGACGTCCAATGTCTCCTCTTTGCTCGAAGCTTCTAAGGTCCTCCACCTCCATCCTCCCCTAAGATGGAGTCAATCGGTGCATGTGCACACACGTAGGTACACACACACATAGAGCTGGATGTTTTTGTTGGTTTTTTCCCCATAGTTGGAGAAACTGAGTCCCAGAGAGGGAGACGAGCTTATATGCCAAGTCACTCAAGTAATTAGAGACTAAACCTGGTGCAGAGTGAGATTTCCTGTTCAGTGTAGCCTCTGTGTCACAGGGAGTCATGGTGGTAACAGTCTGCGCCTCAGTTTCCACAGCCCTTTCTCCTGGCTGGGAGCACAGCTCTTCTCCCTCCCCG